GGGCCCTGACCGCCCACTAGTCCCGGCAACTTCTCTGCCCGCCAGGCGCGAAAAGTTGGCCCGGGGTGGCCGCTGGCCGGCGGGGATCTAACAGGTAATGGCCCCGCATCCTGGCGAAGGCTGCAGCTCCAGGCGCGGCTCCGTCGCAGCACGGGAAGTGTGTCGCCGCAGGGACCCTCCCAGCGAACAGAGGCCCCTCCCTGCGGGGCGTCCCCACCCGCTGCCGCCCCCGACTTCCCGCAGGCGGCAGGGCTCACACCTGTAGGGGTCGACACTGCCCCGTGGGCCGCACCCTGCTCCTCTCCTCTCCCCAGAGGAGCTCCAGTGATGGAGGAGGAGGAGGAGCGGGCTGGGCTAGGCGGTGGGGCTGCGGGGGTGTATCCTTAGTGCCTGACTGCCAGCTGGCCGACCAGCGCGGGCCTGCAGCAGCCTGGAAGTTGGCCAGCACCTGCCCTGGGCTGGGACTCTGCCACTCGCCTCTGTCCCATGGAGGGATTTCGTATGGCGACACTTGTAGCCATCCTGGTAGGAGGCTAAGGCGTTCAGCAGTGGCGGTGGCAGCACTGCAGAGCTGCTCCCGCGCCCCACGCTGCCCCCCAGTGGTTTCCGCTGACTTTTCACTCCAAACCTCTTGGTGTGGCCAGACCCTGATTTTCCTCAGTGTGCTCTCATCTCTCCCTTCAGTTCCAGTTCAAAGCACAGAGCCCAGGCTCTCTGAGCCTCCTTATTTAAGCTGTTGTCCTCTAATCTCCTAATTTACTTCTCTTTTCGGTATTTCTTTTCCTGCCCTACAACTTCAGGAAGCCCCTGGCTTTTTGCTGGACCCACTCTAACCTACAAGCTTCTAATGTAGGAGCAGCATGAAGAGATTTGGGGTCAAAACGCAGCTAAGACAACAGTGCATCACACTCCTGCCCTCAAACAGATACTGATTTTTTTTTTAAAATTTCTGCGGTCAAGAAGGAAGCCCTAATTTCAAACACGCACTACCATTCCCAGCACCTGGAACAGATCTTGGTACATAGTTTAAGCGCGATAAACCCACCTGCAGCCTTTCAGTGGCTTCCCACTCATGACCACCCTCCGTAGCCTTCTGAGGCTGTAAATCTTTAGGGAGGAGACTGCTCGTCTTTCTGTTGCAGAGTAGCTGGTGGATTTGAACCCAGTTAGCACAACACATAACAAACACCAGAACGTTCAATAAAAATGTGTTCAATAAAAATGTGTCCAAAATATTTAGTGAATGACTCGGTTACATAGATTCTGGTGGCTGTTGGTATGTACGGTTGACTGGGAACCGATTTTTATCTGATCCTCCAGCAGGTTTTCAGAGGCTTTAAATTGCACAGGAGCAGATGCCCCATCTTTCATCTGAGGGGCAGCTGGTGGATTCGAACCACTTGTGTTTGGGTTGGAAGTGTAGTTCCTTTCTGTTAGGCCACCAGAACTCAACAGGAGGATATCTCTCCACTCAGAATATATGTGATCAATGTATGTGGTCAAATAGAAATAACCTCACTAGAATAGAGACCAGAAGCATGCCCTAAAACCCACTGCATCTGCACTGATGCTCATTCATAGCAACCCTATAGAACAGAGCCAAGGGTTCACAAAGCTATGACTATTATGGAAACTGACTGCAGCAGCTTTCTTCTGAGGAACAGCTGATGGAGTTGAACTGCCAAACCTTCGGATAGCAGCTGAAATCTTTAACCACTACACCACCAGGGCTCCTTAAGCCTAGACTTTTGTTGTTTGCTGTTGAATAAGGAATCAACCCATAGCTAATCTTCCAGAGGTTTTCAGAGGCTGTAAACCACACAGGAAGAGATTGCCCATCCTTCTCTGTGGCACAGCTAGTGGATACCTTGGGGATTGCAGCGCAGCTTCTGACCTCTGGGCCATTTGGGGTAGAACTAGATGGTGGCTAAGGACAGGAGAGCTAAGGGGTCCCTGGTCATCATGCAGCTTGCTCTGCAGGCTCTTCCTTTCTCCTTAGCACTGCCCCTCCCCTCAGCGCACCCCCATCTTCCTACCCCACCGCCTGCCTTGGAACCTGGAATCAAAGTAGGCTTGGAAAGCTAAGGGAGGGCTCTTCTGGTTCCAATTCAGGGAGAACAAGGATGATGCAGAGAGAAAATGAGGCAGTGTTCCCCGTGCTTGGTCCCCCACTTCCCCAGGGAGGAAGCTCACACTGCTTGTTTGTGCAAACACCCTCCAGGAGGCATTTTCCAGAGCCTGGAGAATTCCTGAGGAGGGACATGCAAACAAACAGGGAGCCACAGCAGCATATGATGGGGCGGGAGGCCACCAGGCATTGCTGAGTGGCAAACACATGCATGTGGCGGCGTCAGCACTTGCCTCCCACTCCCACTTGCCCTCTCCCCACATTCTCTGAAACAATGAGCCTTTAGAAAACAAAACGCCATGCCACGGGCTCTTGGAAGCACCAGACTAAAACTGACAAGTGGGTGACGCTGTAGGTGTTTATGGGCACCTTT